GAAACGCAACGTGTTACACGCACGCTCTTTTTTTTCTCTTCCGCGGTCCACCACTCGATCCCGCGGAGGACGAACGCCTACGTCTCGTCCCGTATAAATTAACGTAGTCGTGAAATCGCACTCGCGGATCTCCCCCCGCGTCGCCGCGTCGCCGGGAGGGACTCCTGTCTGGAGCAAGGATGAATAGCCCGGTTACTTGCTCACCATCGCTCATTATTGTTCAACAGGGGCAACTTATGTGTGAGAGCGCAAGAAGGTATATCTGAGACGCGTACAAAGCGACGTACAGGCTGTTTCAAAGGTCGTGCACTTTTATCCAAGCCACAGGTGGTCGAAGCCAAACCGCGAGTAGAATAATAGGTTTTTCAAGGTCGAAGATAATAAAATGCAACGAAAAGCGAGATTCCACGTATTGTTTGGAGAAAATGGTCAATGAAGGAGCGTTCCAATACGGCATAGATCTCCAAGGAATTCCCAAAGATGTCCCAAAAGAACGTCTTCTAAACCAGGGTTGTTATAAATTCCTCGTCCTAAAATTTCGTAACTTTTTTCTAATTTTCAAACAAAATTTCATAATTTTCTTTAGCTTTCAATAATATTTTGAAATTTTTTTATATTTTGGTCCTGATTTGGAAACACTAAATATTTTGTTGAGAGATTAATTTAACGTAGCAATATAAATTATTATTAATGTTGCTGTCACTACTTGCATTTTTAATTAAGTTGGCAGTATTCCAAAACTGCAATGATATACTTACATATTAAATCTCTTTAAAGTCAAAAATTTTAATTTTCCAGAAAATTTTGCAAAATTCCTTGACTTTTCTCTGATTTTCCTAATCAATTTCCCTGATTTCAATGACTTCCAGTTTTGTGGCAACCCTGTAAACTTTCTAAGAACGTTCTCAGAACGTCTCTTGGATAAAGTGTACTGTATGAAAAAACGTGACTTTTGACACGCCCGATACATCGGCGTTTCAGCCAAACGTCTATCGAGCTAACAATTACCTCAGCGAGTCTACTACTTTGCGAAAGTCTCATCCGTGGTATTTCACGAAAGATCCCCGGGCGATTTTGTCTATCGTTATATATATATATACCTCGCAGATCAGACGTCGGCAGGAAACATCGTCATTAAGAAATTCGTTGCTGACGGCGCTTGAGACATCACAGACGCGCTGCCAATCTGTCAAGTAGCGTTTCGCATTATTATAATTATTCACACAGCTTCCGCGTGTCTCGAAGGTGCGTCAATTCGCGAACAATCCGGAAAGTTTGCCGGCTTACGCGTCGTCCGCGTAAGTGGCGCATTAAGAATACCTTGTAGGACCCAATGATGCTTGAGCACAGCGATACTTTTTCCACGAGTCCGCAATCAGTGGACGACTAATGACGAAGGATATTAACTTCGTCACGTATGCGGTCCATTATAGGCACGTCGCTGAGATCCGCGGATCCGCAAACGCGTTTTATGCAGATTACCTCTTCTCGATTTACCTCGTACCACGACGATAAATTAACGCGGCGGGGAACGTCGCGGGTCAAGAAACTGTTATAGGTTTCGACGCGTTTGTTCGAGATGCGTTATTATTTAAGCGTTACTGTTCTTTTCCGCCTCGAGCAACCTTCGAGCGTACTTCTTCGTCTCGACTCTACGACTATGGACGTAAACTCGACGTATTGAAAGGCTCAACTGAAAAGCCGGCAATCTTCATTATAGTAGAGTAAAAATGAGCAAATGGGCATTAATTACATCGCATGAAGCGCGAACTGAAATGAAACGGAAGAGAGATAATTTTCGAGCTCAATTAATAATTTCTCAGGTATTTGTTAATCCTCTATTACGTGATGTAATTTTCAAATCACACACCGACATAATTTTATTATTCAATTTGTCTTTTATATTTCACTTCGTTTATCGACTATTATAACTTTGAAACTGTAATATAGAGGAATGCATCTCTGCGCTTTGTCCTTAAAGAAGATTTATTCTTTATTTTATTCTAATTAAATTTTTTCATTATCAAACATTTCTTAATCAAACTAACAAATGATTTGCAAGATTAATCCGATCTTTAACATTCGCTTATTTATAATTAAACATATATTATAATTAAACATACATATTTTAGATATATTTTAGATATATTGCATCATATATATTTTGTGTACACGGAAAGAATGATTTTCCTGAAGTATCTAAAAATTTAGCTAGATATAAATTAGAAAAGAAATTTTTAGATTATCAAAATAATTAATATGTAGCATGCTCAAGTTTGCTAAAATATCGAAACTTTTTGTAACATTATTTACCACCTTGAATATTTTACATAATCGTTTTGATGATTTAATAAAATTATTTTTAGATCTGTATATAGAGAGAGAGTTAAATTTCTAGATATTTCAACAAAATCGTTATTTCCGTGTATGTAACTTCGATCGTGTATTTATATTCTTATGTGGAAAGTCGCCATGAAATCGGAGGACCTGGTTACAACGTGCTCGAATTCGAGATAAGACAGAGCCCCGTCGCCGTCTATGTCGCTCTCCTCCAGAATTTTTCGACACACGGTAGTCACCTCTTCGGCACTTAGCCCACCTCGAGTCAGTTGCCGACAGGTGCGCTCCAAATCGCCCAGACCCAACACCCCGTCCTCGTCGAAATCTGTTCGCGGAAGATTACAAATTGATAGATGCGTGATACAAAAACAATCATCAGAACATTGTCCAAGCAAAGCTAAATAAACTTAACGGCGATTCTTCTTTGTATCGATAATGCCTTTTCACTTAAACCTAATCGTAAAATATTTATGAGAGTTAAAAGCAATGGATAACGAGATAAAAACGCGTAATCTACGGCTAAGGAAAAACATTCTGCTCGGACAAAGGTATAATTATAACGCTGCACCGCGGCAAAATCGATCGGTTGTTCCGTGCAAATATTCTCGTGCATCGTGGATGTCGTGTCTGAACGCCGTATGTACTCCTCATCCCATGGAACAACTATAGGTACAGCGAGGTCGACCTCCAGGCTCTCTCACGATCCGCCCGTTCCGTCTGTCTGTCCGCTCGTCTGATTCACCTGGTGGTTCGTACCGTAAATTTTGAAGGCGTAAAAGACTTTCAAATCTCGCGGTGCTTGTTCGGAGAATACGGACAGCATCTCGAGAAATTCCTCGAAACAGATTCCTTCGGATGTAGATTGTCCTGAATCCTGGCGTTGCGTAAAAACTTCCGAGATCCGTTCTCTAAATGGATTTTCCTAAAAAGAAAAAAAATATCCTGTTAGTAAAAACTCTGTTAGAAAAAATATATTTTTAGCTAAAATGTAATAAGATAAGTTTAAGTATTATTTAATGGTAAATTCGATCACTCGCATTATACTGGATATTAAAAGCTGCTTTACGTATATAAAATATCTTAATGCAATGATACAATATAATCAACTTTGACAATGAAATGATACGTATATACGTATTTTGTTAAATAGCATGACTATATCATTAGGAGATAGTTAATCGTTTAAAATATTTATATACTTTTACATTTAACTTTGTTAACTTCATGTAAGGCAGCTTTTAGTATGCACTGATTTAGTGTAGTGCAAGTGATTAATTATTACAAATCAAATTAAATACTTAAACTACATAATAATATAAACTTAGAGTGAATTCGGTCACTATACGTTACACAAATATATATATAGAATATATATTTTAATTAAGACATAAAAATATTCATATAAATTTCCTTACATAGTAAATAACAATTAAAGTTATGTAAATGTAACGTTGTATACTTAAAATAATGATATGTACATAATTTAAAGTAAAATAAAATTATACGTACATATATGTATATTAATTTAAAATAATTATGTAGAATTATATCTTTCTAAAAAGAATAGAGAATCTATAAATGAAATGAAGTTTTACAACATATGCATATGAAACTTATATAGAATTTTTGTGTTCGAAATTATTTTAATATTAGATAATACAAACCTTCAGTTCGGGTATACGAGCCAAATACGACAGGGGCAAACGAAGAGACGATGCCTCTTGCGATGTCATGGTACGCGGTATCATTCCAGGATCTCCTATTTCTCTAAATCTCTTAAATATTCTGTAAAAAATGAAAGAAGTTTCGACAAAGTAAAATAATGCAAATAAGGTACTACCTTAAGATTTCTTTGCGCGTGAAAAAGGTGCAATCTTGATAATCTTCGAATTGTTCTTCAGTGAACGTCGCCACTTTATTTCCCATTGCTCTATTAAATGATTTTTTTTTTAATATAACACTATAAACGCGCGCGCATAGGATTCTAGATTTTTTTTAATTTAAGATATTTTTTGTTATTTTTTAGCAGGAAAACAGCTTAAGAAAATTAATTTGGATGGAAATTAGAAAACTCTTTAAACTAGATTAAGAAATACTGTTACATTTACGAAAGAATAACGAGGACTGAGTTTTCACGATGTTCGATGCGAAATCTTGCAATCTAATAACCAGGGTGTGTCTCGCCACTCCTACCCTCAGGGACATTTCGATTTTAAATTTACGAGAAACTATGACCTACTTATATACTTTATTGTTAGTTGTACAATTCTTTTTTATAAACAATATGAACATGCGAGCTCTCTGATATTAATACTCTACGAGACTTTTATATTTATAAAAAAATTATACAATTGTTAAATGGAAATTATTGATTAATCATCAAGATTTAAAAAATATAAATATATGCATATGTATACATATGTTAAAACGTTTCAAGTGTGGTGTTATAGAAGATTAATTGCATTAATTGTATTGATACAATTGTAGAAAAACATATATTTCAAAATCTTAATCATATAAGTTGTTTTTCATAAAAGATTTTGTACAAGATATTGAAAATGTAATTGTAAGTTACAATAAATATTAGAATACTTAAAATTATTCAATATAATGATCTTTTATTTATAATTCAGTATTTATAACCTTCTATTTATAATTCTTTAGATATAATAATCTTCATATGCCTCTTTACAATCTGTTAAATTATGAATACATTCCATAAATTCGTCTTCCTCGAGTCCGGAATCCGTAAAGGCATGGAATTTCTTGATACTTCTTATCCTTTTAGTTTGTTTAAGTAGAGATTCGTACATTGCCGCGACATTACTACCGCTGTGCATTCCAGCCATTACTGCAATCGAGTTAACATCTGAAAAAGAAAGCAAACGCTGTTAAATTTTATCATTATTTAATCTCGACGTTATTTTTCATATTAATAAGAAGACTCACCGGTTCCTACAGGCCAGCCGGCGATATTCCCATCCTTAGTTACGTTATTATTAAAGATCTTTGGATATGGTAAAGCAATTTTCAACGGTGCCTCAATGTTGGATAAATATGTAGCTGATGCATGACATGTACATGCCAGATACAACGTCATCATTTCATGTACGCTGGAGCATCTGTAGGCTGGTTTGGACATTTGTTTACTAGCTTCGTGAATAGGTCGCTTTATTCTGTCTTCGGGAATTCCTCGTAACACTATACTTTGCATATTATTATCCATTGGTATATCGCAGCTTGGTGTTAGGCTTGTCCATAGAGAGCCTTCGAATTCATCTAATACATCTATTAAATCCATTTTCATCTTCATAGGAAACGGCAGGCTCAGACTAGTCGCCGCAGCTTTGCGACCTAGTTTGTTCAAATCGGCACACAAATCGGATAAGCTGGCGCTCGGATACTTCTTAGTTCTATATCTCAAGCTCAATGTATCTAAAGCGGTCGCTAATATCGCGCTACTGTGATATTTTAGCTCTGGATTATATGTTATATTCTCAAATTTACGTGAATCAGCTCCGAATGGCCAACCAACTTGTCCACAAGAAAGTGGACTATAAAGCGATGAATTCTCTCCGATGTGTTGCCAGCATAATGCTGTATTGACAACTTTAACTAAGTCCGATGCACTAGGTTCGGCATTATTAAAGTCAAGACATGGAAATGTCAAGATACTCTTTCCATACTCATCATGTAGATGCTGAACGCAAGACGCTCCAAGACCAGCAAAGCCATCATCAGAATCCATAAGCACCTATTCATTAAGATATTACATTAGTAATGACATGATTGTTGTAATAATAAAAAAATGGCGTGCAATAATGTATAAATATGCACCTGAAATCCTTGCATTAAATCACACTCTTCTACATATAATCGTATTTTGTCTGTGAAATTGTCAAAGAATTGTTCCGTAGACCATAGATCGCGTCCATACGTGAATATATTAAATGGCCGCTGTGTACAATTGTGTAAATACTGTTTGATAACCATTACTGTTCTTGGATGGAATTGTGGTAAAAGAAAGTCAACCCATGACCTCACATCGCTTTCAAAGTTGAAATTTTCTGAATCCACTACTCTATCAAGTTTATTTAAATTCTGAATAAAAGGTGTTTTTGGACTGGGTTCGGCGCTGGTAACTTCTAATTTTGTATTATCCCATAGCAGCTGATTGTCTGAAGATTCTGTATCATATAAAGAACCTTGTTCATTCAGGTAACCTAATGCTCCTTTTAAATCTGCTATTAACAATCTTGGCGTGAATGTTACTTGTTTCTGAAACATAACTGTCCAGTAGTAATTACCATTTTATAATATCGAAATATGTACATTTATAATATAGGTTTTGAATATGAGAGAAAGAGAAGAGAGAGAGAATCATATGAATTTTAAAATTATAATAAAGAAATTTATTAGAAAATATAATAATCTCTTCTTTTACATTATCATATATATCATATGTTTAATATAAATACAGACTATATTTTAGAGATATAGAAGTTATGCACAAAAAAATACTTTTGTTCCTTTTGTTATATAAATTGCAATAAAATATTGCAATTTGCACTTTTAAGAAAAATGTTTTAGGAATTTTTTGTTATTTGATCGAATGCTATATATAAAAAATATAATTCCACAATATCTGCATTAGCTTTCATGTTTCTGATCAAATTGTATACATAAAAAATATATACCAATCTCTGCATTGGCTTTCATGTTTCTGTTTTATTATTGATTTAATCACAAAGTCTTTGTCCTTTGTAAAAAAATATACTCTAAAAATATAACTATATATTAATATAATTTTAAATTCTAATCTTGGAACTAAAATTGCTATATAAATAAACCTCTTCGATAGTTACAATATTTTTAGTGCCATCGATATACATTTATGTTGCCTATCTATAAAAGTAGCAAAACATATTTAAAATACAATCTTTACAATTATACTTACTCGCATGTTTTCACCTTCTTTATATAGTACGTCATGATTTATCTCGGATGGATTCTTCGGGTCGTACATAAAATTAGATTCCTGTGAAATAATTTTGTAATGTATATAATCGTTAAACAAACACAACACACAGAGATGCATATACATCAAGATTTAGCAATAAAAAAATTATAGCCATCAATACCTGCAGATTCCACCAATGCGTGCCAATAAAATTCGAATAATGACCCAATTGAATGGTCAAAATTTCCCGTGTTGTCATACTTGTCAAATTTATATTTTGTTCTTTATAAAACAATGTATTAAAGTCTCTCTTTTTTTCTCTCGACCAAGTATAAAAAATTTATTTGCCTATTTTATACTGATGGATAGGAGATATCTAAATCTGTTTCAATGTTATCCATCAAGTAGACTTCCTGCCTGCTCTCCACCTTGATAGAGATTAAAAAATTTTTAATCTGTTCGTATGATTATATTCGTATAGTTAGCACATGAATGTTTACATACATTTATATATATCAAATGTAAGTTTTTTTTTATACCTTTCAGATGAAGAGAGTAAATATATCTTCCACCTTTCTTAATTAATTGTTAGGTCAGTTAGGTTATTTCCGGACACATACCAGAGAGAAACTTGAGGGCCCTTTTCCCTTTTTCCTGTAATCGCAAACTTTGCCCTCGCACATTACTAGCTCTGTTCGACTTGCATACATTTTTTTACACTTAAAATGAGATAGATATATATTTGGCGCTGAAAAGAAAGAAAGCGAAGATACTGAGTGTAAAAAGTGTAAGAAAGTCGAACAGACCAACTGTCAGAGAGAGTGAAGATTGAAATTTGACCAATGAGGAGACAAAGGGATTTTAGCTTCTATTGTTTTGATTGGTCAAATTTCAATCTTTCAATCTTCAATCTCAATCTTCAATGCATAGTCTGATTCCGGCTTTATGCTGGATTCACACTGCATCCGATTTTCGTCGTACGACGTTCTGCATCCAATCAGAAAACAGGATTCCGATAATACGAAGCAAAATTCATCGGAATCCTGTTTTCTGATTTTTTTTGACGAAAATCAGATGCAGTGTGAATCCAGCATTACATGGGCGCGGAATGCGGAAATGCGGAAACGCGTAACCAATCAGAAGCGATCCGCTGTTATGGTTTCGCGTTTTACTGATTACTAATTGGTTACGGTATGGGCGGGTATTATGTATGGTAATGAACTTATAAGGCCTTATTTCTTTGAAGAGAGATTAAACGGTCAGAATTATGTATGTAAATGATCCAATAGATCTGATCGAAAATTTCAATATTATCGATGAAAGAGTAATAATCATTTTTGAGACAGTATGAGAGATAATTATTTTATATATTTTACGCAAAAATTTACAATTAAAATAAGTGCAAAGAGATCCTTATCCAATCAAAGTGGATATTAGTATTTAATAATATTTTTGCGTGAATTTTACAATTTCCAGTTTATGCAAACTATGTACTGATTTATCGATCTTGCAACATAATCCTAAATTAAAGCTGAAATGCGTAATATAACAAATTAAATTGACAAGCAGTTTAATGATACTGACGCTAATGAGCATCTTAAAACACTGTAAAGTTACAAAAAATATAAATACTTAAATAATTGTATAATTAAATATAGTTGCTTTAAGCATTCAATTATATTACTGAATAAAATAAAAACTTTTTATTAGATATATTAGATACTTCAACTTAGAATATATTTGCCCGATTTTATCTATTACTTTCCGAAACATATTTTGATATTCATTCAGATATCGGTCGAGTCAACTTGAATGGAATTCATTTTCCTATTTCTTCAAATTGTTTTCTAGCTTATTGGTGACAATAGTATACAAGGTGGTTCATCTTGATCCATCCAGTAAAAAAGCATTTAAGACAAAAATGTTTCAGACAAATATTGCTCAGTTACAAGAGGAAAAGAAGATGGTGACTTTGAGAAGATATCCTTAAGGTCAGGTCAAGATTACCTAAATTTTTTTTAAATAAAATTATATTAATTTTTTTTACATATGATTCCTCTAATTATTCTGCATATAAAACTATTTTGCATATCAAACTAGACACAAAAAAAAACCAAACTAGAGACACAAAAAACCAATAGAGTTTACGAGATATTTTATACTTTATTCTGGCACATTGACATGAAATATTAAATATCTGTTAAACTGTTACGCTTAGTTTTTTAATAATCATATTTTAATACTTTTACGAACAAAATAATGAGATGAATCAATTGGTTTAAAGAAAACACATAGTTGCTTATTTAAAAAATTATCTATTTTGCTTATATAGGTATATTTTTTAAAGCAACTATGTAATTTCTTTACAAAATTATATTATTTGTAATATTATTATTGATCTAAATATAAACATATAACAAAATTTAAAAAATCTTAAAAGAAAAACATTATTTTAGTCCTTATTCTTTAAAGTGACAAATATGATTAGTTTTGAAATAGATGTATGTGTAAGAGATAATAACTTTGTAGATATGAGATAATTATTTTATATTTTATACAAAAGTTTGTAATGAAACTTAAATATTTCAAGCTCATACATTTATTCTAATTTTAATTATATAATTAAACAAAAGACTTTATATATCAGACACTTCGACCAAGAATTTGCCCGATTGCATTCATTTCTTTATGAGACATAGGTTCTAACATTAATCCAGGTACAGGTGGAATCATTTCTAAATCACGTAGTTCATTTACTTTTATCTTTAAATTGCTTCTTAGCTTATTAATGGCAGTATCACATTCTTTCTGATCTGTAATGTAATGTATAATATATAATGTAAATAATACAGATTATAGAAATTACAGAATGTAAATTTTCTTGTTTTGCTTGTTTATTTGAAATTACCTTTTTCAAGTAATTCTTCAGCTGCTTTAGACGACATCTTTAAAAGCAACGGTCCTATTGTTATCCAAGTTTTTTCATGCAACTGTTTTTGAAGTGCTCTCATTCCAACACGATCATCGTTTCGTCTCTTGTCTAGAGCGACTATTTCCTCTCGATCAGTGAGAATTTCACCAGCTTTGTTTTCAACTTTTTCTAAGTGTTCCAATAATCTGTGCTGCTCGTCCGCCATCTATAACAAATTAATAAATGTATCATTTTTTTGTATATTTTCATACTATATAAAAAGGTTCTTATTCGTTCTATATTTTAATGAAATAAACTTTATTTTTGTATATTTTAAAAATTTTTATTAGCATATTTAGATATAATTAGCATGAGATAAAAAATTGTACTAGTAACATTATGTAGAGAAGTAAAAAATACTTCTATTAAAAGTATTAATATGAAATATCTTATAATAAAAAAAGATTGAGGATAAACTTACAAGTCTTAAATATATAACAACAGTAAAAGTTATATTTTCATTACATTCAATCTTGAAATAACATCACATTCAAAATAGAATTATTTATATTTATTTTAAGATAATGCTATACGCAAAGCTCTTTCTTTTCTAGCCTCTCTGTGAAGTAATCTTTCCCTGTCCCTTTTCTTTAAAGGTTTCTGCTTTGGCATTTTGGAGTTAATGGCAGTTGTATCGCCCGGCTTAAAATGAGTAATCTTATACTCATTTTCTATTAACTGTCCCAATCCTTTGCGATCCATTTTTAAACATGTTTTGATGGGATATTTTATTCCTTTCCCAGAAGGACCAAGACCAGCTTCTTCGTCCCATCCTGTATTCAAAAGCATTCTGTATCCTTTATTTTGCCTCGATATTCCATACATTACATATTTCAGTTTCGGCTTTGTGTTAAAGATGTGTAGAGTTGAACTTTCGTGTTTTTGTGGCGTTGTTTCTTGAAAAGTCGCTTTACAGATTTCACAATAAAACGCTGCGTTCTGCTTGAGTTGTGTTTTATCTTCCATAACATTATCTTTATTATGTTCCACTGATGATTCTATAGGCAATGATCTTACTGATAAAGTACTTGTATTATTTATATTTGGAATATTTGCAGTTAACTGATTAATACTGCTTATGGAGTTAGACTTCTTCAACAGCGCTACTATATTCAAATAATTTTTTTTTAAAGCTAGTTGTGCTGCAGTAAGACCAGACTTATCCCTAGTTTTTTTGTTAGCCCCAAGATTTAATAAAAATTGCACAATTTCTAAATGACCACAGTAAGCAGCAGACATTAATGGAGTCCAACCAAAATCATCAGACGAATTAACATTTTCTGTTGTCATGTATTTTTGCAAAAACTTTAAGTCCTTTTGCTCCACTGCTTTTAACAATGTATTGACTGTGACTTTTGCTAGAATATCATCGGAAAGTGTATTCTTTTTTGATTGTACAATAGAAGTTGAATTTGTGTTGGAATTGTCTTGGTTTCCAGTGATTTTTAACCTTAAATTCTTTAATCTTGTTGATGGAGTATTGCTGTTACTAGTTTGCTGAACAATTTCTTCATAGGCAGCCTTTGCTTCGTTACCTTGGAAAGTCAATTGACGAACGTATCTCTCTGGAGATTTATCCTGTACATTAGGTGACTCTCTGACGAAGGTCTTCCACGGTATATCGATGTTGTGTCGTATATGCAGCCACTGTTGTAAAGGCATCTTTTTTTACGTCACGTTGTCTTATACTACTGGTACATGTTCTTTTCTTTAGTCGTTCCCTTGTTGAAATCTGTATAGAATCCTTATAAAATATCCTATCATCTCAGTTCATATTTATCACAAATAATATGTTCTTGCGGTTTAAAACGTCGTAAAAATGTAAGTACAAACGATGAGCAACGTGTTGCTCTATACCTTATTGCCACAATAGAAGTTTGCAAAACTTGGTAAAGACAAAATAAAGTCGTGTCTCAAAAGAGTATACAGATCTGGCGCGTATTGTTCGATTGACAGACGATCGAGATGTTATGTTAACGAGATAATACGTCGATAGCAAAATTTACCTTTGCTTCAACGCGCTATCACTGCAATCGTCTCGCCTGAACGTAGTCACATAAAACGTAAATCACGAATAATTCACAATTAGGTTATGTACGCCAAATATTCTCTAGAGGCTCTAGAGAACCCAATGTGGGGAATTTAGCACTTAGGGCGACAAATCGAAATCTACCCGACAATTTTTAAAGCGCGTTTTTTGAAAGCGATTAAGTAATCAAAAAATTTGTAAGTGTGAAATAAGAAAGTTGTTTAAAACTTGTTATAATTTTTATGAGATATCTTATTCTGACATATTTCGACGTAAGTCGCGGAAATATTTGCTCATAAATGAAATCTAACAAGAGAATCTATAGTGTAATTCTAATTCTCTCTCTCTCTCTTGCACTTTTTGCATTTAGCGTCTTCTCATCATAGTAAAATTACCTATTTATTTAGGTGTTAATAATATTTTTAAAAAACAATATTTTTACAAAATTCATATTTAAAAAATTATTTTTTAAAAATATTATTGACGTAAATAAATAGAGATAATTTTATTATAAAATTTTTGTATTAAATATTTTTTAATATCTCGAATGTTTCTGAGACATTACGAAAAAAATCTAAAAATCACTTTATCAATAAGGATCGATAAGGAGTCAT